ATCCCCCAGCCCGATTCCCAGCCCTGGGATCGCCTCCGCCCCGGCCGCAAACCCACCTTCCGGGGTGCTCAGAGGCCCCTTCCAGGGGTGTCACCGAGGTCCCCGCCTCCAACTCCCGACGCGGGCTCCCCGCTCCGCAGCCTCTGGCCCGGCCTCGGGGGCTAAGCCGGCTCCTGCCTCTCCCTCGTGCTCCCGTGAATTCTCTGCACTATTTTTTTTTAAGGGACTTTTTTTTTTTTTTTGCGTTGCGTCAGGACGGTTGCCTGGCGACGGCAGAGCTATTCCGCGGGCAGCCCTTTCAGCCGGATCCCCTCCAACCTCCCATTCAAGCCTCTCCTCCCGCGGCTCCGGGACCTGGGCGCGCGGGGTCGGGAGACGCGCACCGGGTCCTAACGCCCCGCTAGTTGCACGTTCCCCGCCCAGACCTGGACCAGAGCGGCCGCCCCGCCACACGCATTTGCCAAACCCTAGACGAAACCAAATCCAAATATCCTTTTCTTTTTTCTTTTTTTTTTTTTTTTACTCGAAACCTAAGCAATGTTCCCATAAGCATGACAACGTGGCTTTGCCACTGTCAGCAATTTGCCTGCGTGGAAGGGGCAGAACCCCCGTCGGGCACCGCCAAGCCCAGAGCTCACACTCCACCCGCAAGCGGCTGGAGTTCAGACTGTCAGCAGCAACTCCCACTACCCAGGGCCTATCCTGTGCCCCACGGTCAGTGAAATGCCCAGCAGGCAGAGGGGGCATTTCCAGCTACAGATGAGGAGACGGAGGCTCAGAGAGGCCAAGTAGAAACCAGAAGTGGGGCGGAAAACAGACGTTCTTCCAGGTCTGTCTCCTAGACCAGCTGGGAGTAGTTCGAGGGACCTGCCCCCAAGCATGTGTTCCCCCCACTAACCACAGGGTGCCTCATGGCATATAATACTATGTGCTGTGTCAACCACTAGAGGTGGTTATATTCTAAATCTAGCTGCTGCTCCGCCAGAGCCTAGAGCTCCAGGTACCTAGGACACAAGACAGACGCCAGGGCAGCCCCATCCTGGCTTTCAGGATCAATCTTTTTTTAAAATTCTTTATTGATTACAGTATTACATATGTCTCCCCCCCCCCCCCCCCCATTGACCTCTCCCCGGCCATTTCCACCCCCAGCATGTGACAGCAGACAGGGTTCTCCAGTCCAGACCCTTGGGCTCCGCCTCCTCCTGGGACCACTGGCTGATTCCCGAGATCCTTGTGCTGCCTCCTGGTGCCTGTGTCCTTCACTGCTTCTCCCCGTCAGGGCCCTTGACCCACTTCCTTTCCCCCTTCATTAGCACCTCCGCTAATGGACTTGCCTAAGGAGGCACCCTGCTAATGTGAGCACCTCTTCATGCTAACGGGGTAATGCTTCCAAGCTAGCAAGTCTTTTGGAGAGTCACAGCACCCACCCAACCTCTTGATTCCAGCTCCTAAACAGTGATCCAATCCTCCACTTCTTCCATCCCCTCTGCCTCTGCCCTGGCCCAAGGCACCATTGCTTGCCCCACCTCCAGCAACAGCCTCTTATTGATGCCTGCGCCCACACTTGGCTCCCCACCTGCCTCCCCCTGAGCCAATTATTCCTCCACAGCCAGAACAAATTCTTTGAAATGCAAATCCGACCCTGGCTTCTTCCTGCCTAAAGCCTCCCAACAGCTCCCATTCCTCCGGGATTAAAATCCAGCGATTAAAACCCAGCGTGGCCCACCAGGCCTGCGTGTCCAGCTCCGTCCACTGGGCCTGCCTTGCACCTTGCCTTGATTTTCTGCTCTCCAGACAGACACTCTTCCGGGTCCTTTTACACACCTGCTCCTCCCACACAGGGCTGACCCAACTCCTGCCTCCTGAGAGAACCCCAGGTCACATGTCCTTATAGCCTCACCAACCTCTCCTTCATGGACAGCTGTCATCTTATCTTTTTCAGTGAGGTTATTTGATTGGTATCTGTCTCCCTCCAAGGCTGTAGGCTCCAGGTGGCAGGAACCACGTTTGCAAGTTGAAGGCTGGGTTGAGCTGTCATCTTAACTTTTTCGGTGAGGTTATTTGATTGGTATCTGTCTCCCTCCGAGGCTGTAGGCTCTGGGTGGCAGGAACCACGTTTGCAAGTTGAAGGCTGGGTTCAGACTTGGGGACTTGGCGTCCTCCTGTGGGGGGTTGTCCCTGGCCACACTGCCCTGTGCTGGGTACTGCTCGCCAGTATGATCTGGCCCCAGCATGTGGTGGTGCTCCAATGTCTTCTTGGTGGAGCCATTCCAGCCCATCTGGAAGTGCTTTCTCCCATCTTCAGCGTCCTCGCCCCTCATGTGGCCTGGGCTCCTGGTGTTGCTTTCTCGTGGATGCATTGTCTTCCTTCTTCACATTGATAACCTGCCCCGGGCAGGAACAGGTCTTACCCTCATGCCTCCCTTTCTGCCTGGCATTTGCCTGGTTAGGGGGGTGGTCAGTGATGGGGACCAGGAGAGCCAGCGAGGGAAGGAAGAGGAAGAAGAGGAAGAAGAGCCGGGTCTCTGTTGGAATAGTCTCACTCTAAGCAGATGCAGTGCTGAATGAGTTCTTGGTAGAACTCTAGCATAGGCTAGTATGTGGCCATACAAATAATGTTTTCAAAAAAATATTTGATGGCATAGGAAAATGCAAATGATTTCATGCTAAGTAAATAAGACCAGAACACCAAATGTCTAAGTAAGCAAAACATTGTGGAAAGTTTAATTCCAATATCTAATTCCTCTAAATGTGTAGAAAAAAAGATTGGGAGGGTATATATAAATATTAGCTGTGATTATCTCTGGATGGCAGGATAACAGGATTTTAAATTTCTTCTATAGACTTCTATTAATGTTCTATGTTTTCTACAACGAATAGTTTTTGTCACTGGCAACTTCAAAAACGCTATTACAAAGAAAAGATGGCCCTGTGTTTGGGGTAGCTGATGCCTGGTGCTTTGTATGGAGCTGCCATTTATACAGAAAAAATATTGGGAGGGTATATATAAATATTAGCTGTGGTTATCTCTGGATGGCAGGATAACAGGATTTAAAATTTCTTCTATAGACTTCTATTAATGTTCTATGTTTTCTACAATGAATAGTTTTTGTCACTGGCAACTTCAAAAACACTATTACAAAGAAAAGATGGCCCTGTGTTTGGGGTAGCTGATGCCTGGTGCTTTGTATGGAGCTGCCATTTATATGTGAGGCTGGACAGGAGCCCAGTGGTGGGTGGAGGTATCCCCGGGCCCAGAGCCACGGGGCCACCTGGGGACTCTTCCCCTCCAGCTGGCGCTTTGGACCAGGGAATACTGGGTCAAGCCCATGAGTCTGGACTTGGTGACAACACACTGGTTGTAGAGCTGCCTTTTGGATCAGCCCTATTGATCCAATTTGATTTTTAAGATGTAAGATGTAATGTTGTGTGAGATGGCTGGCCCAGGCATCTGGACCATTTTAGTGAATGCATATGTCAGCCAACAGCCGCCTCACTGACAGGAGCACAGCACTTCACAGGTTACAGAGCAGTTTCCTTTCCATTGGTCCCAAGATGAGTGAACATGGTCTCCTTTGGACCTACAGAAATCCAGTGAAATAAGGGAGTCAAGAAACATTTTCCTGACCTAGACAGTTTTCTCAGTGGTTAGAGCGTCTTCCTGTGGACTCAAGGGTCACAGGACCGATTCTGGACAAGGGCACGTATCTGTACCTCAGTTGCAGGCTCGATCCCCAAGTACAGAAGGCAACCAATTGATGTGTCTCTATCACATCGATGTTTCTCTCTCTGTGTTTCCCCTCACCCCCCGCCCCCCGCCCCCACTTCCACTCTCTCTAAAAATCAATAGAAACAATATCCTGCCCTAGCCAGTTTGGCTCAATAGATAGAGTGTCAGCCCACAGACTGAAGGGTCCTGGGCTCAATTCTGGTCAAGGCCAGGTACCAGTTGCAGCTTGATCCCCAGCCCTGGTCGAGGTGCATGTGGAAGAAAACCAATCAAAATGTGTCTGTCTCACATAGGTGTTTCTCTCTGTCTCTTCCCCCTTCCTTTCCACTCTCTCTAAAAATCAATGGAAAATATCCTTAGATGAGGATTAATAACAACAAAAAAAGAGAATATATCCTGGGGTGAAGATTAACAACAACAAAAGAAACATTTATTTTATCTTACCTAGGAGGACGCTAAGCTTGAAGAAGTTTGGGGGCTTACTCACACAGCTAGCAGTGGCAGGGCTCCCAGGGCTGTCTGGCTCTGAGTCTAGGGCCCTTCATACTGCATCACACTAACCCTGCAGTCTCCCCCCCCCCCCCCCCAAAAAATAGCCAGGGCAGCCTCAGCGACCACAGTGTGCTTGAGCCATGCTCAGTGGTCAGGGATGACCTGATTAATAAGGTGATGTTTGAGCAAAGATGTGAAGATGTGGGAGTTGGTTATGAGGTATTTGGGGGAAGGCTGTTCCAGGCAGAGGGACCAGCCAGTGCAAAGCGTGCCTGTTGCAAGCAAGGAAGAGCAAGGGGCCTCACATTGGAGTGCAGCGAGCAGGGGAAAGATGAGGGCTGTGGGAGATGATGCTAGAAAGGTGGCAGGGTGGGGGTGCTGGAGCAGATCCCATGCATAGACCATTGTAAGGACTCGTCTTCCCCCAAAGGAACACAGAGAATGCACAGCTGGGTTGGGTCTCTGCCTTCCTGTCACTCCCACAGCACAAAGCACTCTCTAAATTAGTCTTCCCAGTTCCCACCGGAGTTTTTAAGCTACTCAAGGGCAAACTCCATTGTCTAAGGCTCCTGGCTATTCTTCCTGGTGATTAAAATTTGGTCCCTATTGACTGAATGAGAGGAGGAGGAAATATATTTCTGATTGGCTCTATTATACGTAGGACATAGAGGGGGGTGACACCCTCCCCTGCTTCAGGGAGCAATTAGAACTCACAGTCCTGGGCCGGAGTCCACTAGCTTCTAATCTGCCTTTGAGAGAGACTTTTCCATTCCGGGGCCCAGCGTTTCAAGAGGATCCAGGAAACGTTTGTCATTTGGCATTGCTGCTGGCGTCAGGAATGGCTTTTCTCTGCCCTTATCTCTCAGGAGGGGCTGAATCAGGCTGAATCACAGAAGGCTCCCATCTTGTAGGGAACCCATTAGTTCAATGAGCAGTATGGGTGGCTCGCTCTGTGCCACCTGGTGCTAAGCATGGGGATACGGTGCCTGCGGCTTATTAGTGTAGAAAGATCATTTAAAAAGCAGCCACCTTGGAACTGGAGTTAAGAAGGTGACAGCTGCCATCTGAGCCCAAATGAGGGGGATGAGTGGGAGCTGGCTGGGAGAGGCGCTGGGGAGGCCTGAGGGAGAGCGTGGCAGGAGAGGAAATAGCATTGGCAAGAGCAAGTTGAAGACAGAGAGGGATTCGGCGTGGCTGAGAAGAAGAGTGCAAGAGGGTGTGATGGACCA